TCTCATCACACTGTGAACACCCAATATACGCACCGTAGCCTTCCAGGCGATCCCCTCACCTCCTGGGTCGCCTAATCTTGTCTCCGCCCTCCTCATTACACACCACTTACGACCAAACTCGCCATGCGGACCGCATGTATGTACCGCATAAGGCAGAAGACAAGCGCCAGATGAGCGCAAATCGTACCACAGCTCCGATACCAAATTGCACTGGGCCTTTCCCAAGAAGCTTCCGATAGGCCTCGGTAGGTTGAGGCCCAGTCTGCATATCTCAGGCCCTGGGCCTGTAGTGGTTGGTCGCGCCCAACTGTCAACGGCCTGTGTTAGGCCCACATCCCGAATCCAACCCAGTGCCTACCTTCGATACATTCACACTGGCTGCCCAGGGTGTGGGTTCCTTCAACCAACAGGCACTGCGCCACTGCCTGAGTTTCCTGAGTTGCGTGGTGACCAAAATAAGGGCCCTCAGGCCCTCGTCGAGCTTGCCTTCACTTAGGGCGGCCGACGTGCTGTATGGTAGGGCTTGGAAGGGGCTCATCGAGGCTTCAGCCTCGCAAGGATATTCTTGCTATTTAAAAAGATTCCCCAAATAGAAAGAAAAAGAATCATTGAAAATGTTAAATATTTCACTAAATCCATTATCCGATATTTGAATTTATCCCCATTATCCTCGATAGTCGGAATCGTAATTAGTACGAGTAAGCTTCACACCTCACCGTGATTTTGCTTCTCGCCTACTCAAGTGATGGTCTTTCACTTTGTATGATAACTTTTTTCAARAGGGGTTTCCCGCTTATATGCTTTCAGCGGTTCTCCCATACCAATGTAGCTACCCGGCAATGCCACTGGCATGACAACCGGTCCACCATAGGTTGACCCATCCCAGTCCTCTCGTACTACGGATGACTTCTCTCATTTCTCTTCAAATGACCAACGGTAGATAGGAACCGAACTGTCTCACGACGTTCTAATTGTTATGTTGGCCACTAACCCGCTCGAGCCTGTTGTTGCTCAGTATAGATACACTAGTAGCACTCTATGTATCTCTACATAGCACGGACTCTACCTTCAACTTGTTTCAAGGCGACTATACTAACCGCCTGGAATCTACCCCTCCCTCAGTTCTTCNATGTATCTCTACATAGCACGGACTCTACCTTCAACTTGTTTCAAGGCGACTATACTAACCGCCTGGAATCTACCCCTCCCTCAGTTCTTCCTGAATGTCTCTTGTCGCCAAGGTCCCTTAGCAATCTAGACAGCGTGCGTGTCTAAAGGTGTGCACGCGGCCCACCCCTGTGCCCCGAGTCCCGCTGAGCTGGCCAGCCCTGCACAGTCTTTATCCTCGCGTGCAACGAGCCTTACACCGACCAATTGGCTGACCAGGAGGTGTTTTTATGGACGGCCCCCGAAGTCCTCAAGAATTATTTAACGTCGCAAACAGGACGACAATCACAACCAATGGAAGGTACCCAGTCGGTGCTTATTTATTGACGCTCGGTCTTGTCTGTCCCATAGGGCTGGCCTGCCCTTCATAACCCCTCTACAGCACGGCAAGCAGACAAAGGACAAAGCAACGAAGCATGGGTGCTCTACTCCCGGTGGGTTGGCATGGTGACCGTGACCCAGTGCTTCGTCCAGGGCCCTTCAGATAGCACTGCCCTCTCCTTCCAGATGCTCCGTGTGAAGACTAACGACTCTCAAGGTTGAGCGCACACGACTCCTCACATGAGAGGACTCTCAAGACATAACACGCATCCTCACGGTAAGAAGTGTCGAAGAGGGTAGATAAGGTTAGGTGCAAAGTACCTCAAAATAGCTGCCCCCAACCACATATATTCTCACCAGATGACCCGATGCTGATTGTGATGACCAATCGCTGCTTCGGCACAACCAACATTGCACCACCGTTCCACCGGATAGTTCTCATCACACTACGAACACCTAATCTTCACCACTTAGCCTTCCTGGCGATCCCCTCTCCACCTGGGTCGCCTGCTTATCTTCGCCCTCCTCACTCACACATCCCACGGCACGGTCGCTCACCACACACACCGCGTGCATGTACCGCATTAGGCAGAAGACAAGCACCAGACTAGCGCACTGTACCACAACTCCGATACCAAATTGCAAGGAAGATTAGCAATAGCACACTTGAGAAATCAAATGCATTATACACATGAGACCAGATAGTCGTGACCTCGAACCAATAGCAGAATTGCATCACGAGTTTCACCACATAAGAGCACACCAAAAGATCATCAGTGTATACAGCCGTACGTACGGGCCCCGACCCCCGGTACGAACTTTGGGCCCTCCGTACACTGCCTTCCGGAGAGGTGTTGAGGGGGTGGATGGACCAGGGGGGGGGGGTTCGGATGCCGGGGGGTAACCCCCCCCCATTCAAAAAAAAAAAAAAAAAAATCCTGTCCTGGGTGTAGAAAAATAAAATAAAAGATTGATTGATTGATTGATTGACTGATTGTTTGATTGATTGGTTGATTGATTGATTGATTGATTAATTGATTGATCATTAGAAAAAACAATAATAATAAAAAATCCATTCGAAAGAATGATTGATTGATTGATTGATTGATTAGCAGTGGGGGGGGGTCGCCTCCCCC